GTTGTAAGCCGTGGAGATTTTGGGCTGTTCCCACCACAGCCACACTGAGACATACACAACATGGCTATTGTTTCTCTCCCCTTTCATCCCCGTTGGTAAGGCCTGTTTGTCCTGATCAAAACTGAAAACCCCACAGGTCCCATTTGGGACATAGTCCAAGCCTCGCTCAAGACTAGAGGTGTTCTCCTTCCGGCCTTAGCCACCAGAGGTGCCCTTCGCCTGTACCCACTTGCTGTTCTTCCATGAAAGAGATTTTCCTCCAGTACCAGCACGGAAGCTTTGCCTGGCGGCACATGCCTGCAACCCTAGTACTCTGGGAAGCTGAAGCAGGAAGATTTCAAGTTCAAACCTAGCTTGGGCATCAAGACCCAGTCAGAAAAATAAAAAAAATTAAAAATGGGCTGGGGTTGTAGCTCGGAGCAGAGGCTCCATGTCCAGTGCCCGGTACAAAAAGGAAAAAGAGAGCAGTCATCTCTAACTGCCCGAGGTCGTTCGCTCAGGTACAGCGTACACACTACTCCTACGATGCCCTGAAGCTACAGCTTCAGAGACCCTCTGCGAGCCTGAGTGAAGTCCAAGGCCAGCATACTAAGGAATCAAAGGACATCATAATTCAGATCCTTAAAACAGTTTTGGGGCCAAGAAGATAGGTCGGTGGCATAAGCACTGTCTGGTAAGTGCAAGGTCCTGAGTTGGATTCCCGGTATATATATATATATATATATATATATATATATATATATATATATTATATATTTTTGGTTGCCTGACGGGCAATCCCCTGGGTTCAGTCTGCACTCAACAACTTTAGACCTGCACGCCTGCAGAGACAGCTTAGAGGGTGAGATAACTGTCTGAATGGTGTGCACCACAGTGAGTTGGCAATTCTGTCATCTGTAGGCAAAAAGTACTAACAGGTGTCTCGTTATCTGTTGGTATTGCCTGACACAGTGGTCAGGTAGCAACATCCGGGTATTACTCAGACAATCAGCACACTTCACGCCCAGGCATCGCGTTTGGCTCAAGTCAGAGCGACAGCAAGCTCCGGCTCCAGAAAACTGGCTTGTGACAGGTAGGGTGATCAGAATGTCACCCTCTCTTGGCTACAGGGGCCAGGCCAATAGCTCAGGGGCTTTGGATAGAAGAGGTGGAAAGTAGAGGTGGATTTCTGCTCCAAAATGACACTTTGCTACCAACACTGAACAGCAGAGTCGAGAAATGAGAAGCTGAACTTCTGATGAGATCAGTGGAATTCGGGGACTCGTCTGTGCCTGGCTACCTTTGAACTTTTATTTCAGTTGTATAAACCAATAAAATTCTATTCTTTCATAAAGCAGTTAACAACTGAAGAAACCCTGGCTGATCCAGGCCAGAGTCCAGGTTTACAGATGTGACCAAGGCCTCCAAGGAGATAACCAGGCTGCTGGGCGAGACAGCCCCACGGCGCTGCAGGGGTGCTGCCGCGAGGCACCCGCGCCTAGAGTGAGTTACCCAGCGCTGTGCAGCCCACGATTCCAAGGACCCAGATTTCAAGTCCAGGCCTAAGCAGGACTCCAGAGCTCACGTGTACTGAGCCACGCTGACGTTCAGGGCAAGTCTTTACCAGGAATCAAACCTGCACACGGTCTCTGAAGCACCAAGGGAGTTCACTGGCGTTCAGCGGGTGGGACTGACCCCAGCACAGAGCACAGCCACTTCCACCTGTGCGGCAAGGTCCTCAGCAGCTGAAGGAGTCCGCGGCAGCACCACAGGGGCGCACAGGGTCCTGAGCTCGCCGCTCCTCCTGGGACTCCCTGCGCAGTCTCAGGCCCTGTCTTCTTGGCAAGGAAAAGGGCCTTCTCTGACCCTCCTCACTCCCTTTAGATTAGGTAGATGTGTCCCCCCAAAAGATTCTGGGACAGGCACAGCCTGAATTGTATACCAAGACTCTTTCTCAAGAAAACTATATAAAATTTAAATGAGTCCATTTTACTGATGAATACAGATTGAATACCCTTAATCTGAAAATCTAAAATTCAAAATGCTCCAAAATCTGGTAATTTCGAGTATGAATATGGCAGCACAAGTGGAAACTTCCACACCTGGCATCTCTCAGTGGAACAAAGTCAAAACGTAAGTGCAGTAAAAAAGTGGAATGGCCAGGTGTGGCCCACACCTGTAACCTAAGGCAAGAGAATTGGGAGTTTGAAGGAAGCCTGGGCAACTCAATGAGATCCTGTGTCAAAATAAAAGAATAAAAGGGGGTTGGGTAGAGGCCAGTGCTTCCTGGATTCAATCCCCGGTACCAGAAAAAAAAAATATCTTCAGGATTTGCGTAAAAAGTCTAGGAGAAACACTCATGAATTTCACGTTTCCACATGGAGTACAGCTCCATGATGCCTCTCTCCACATATGTAGCTATTCTGAAATTCAGAAAAATCCCCAGAACACATCTTGGACCCAAGTATCTGGGATAAGTGATACCCAGGCTCCAAGCAGTGAATTATGGTCAGGTGAAGGGTGACGTACAGCAACAATAATAAAGGTGACAAATCTGTGAAGAGGGGTCACCACTGGTATTACCAGCCCCTCTCCCCCCAGAAATCCATGAGCACTTTGATCAGAGTTGACAGAGCGGCAGCGAGTGGGGCTCAGCGGCTCAGATCGCGGCAGCCAGACTGACTCTCCCCTGCAAATGAGGGTCTCCAATGTCTGGAGCTCAGACGGCACCCCTTTGTGCTGAGGGGTGGTGGAGAAGTAGGCTCCGCACCCACTGTGGTGGCGGACAGAGTCTTGGGGGTTCCCCCTGGGCCCCCCAGTACCCTGTCAGATCGGGAGCACCCAGAGCAGGTGTGCACAGGTGTGACGGGAGGCGTCCTTTGGGGGCCCGTCAGGTTCCGTGTGCTGCGCGGGGCCACAACCCTGAGACTTAGTGGGCCCCCGCGGCCTCGCCAGGAGATTTGGGCCAGGGTTTTGGGGTGCTCCGTGGACCTCGAGCACACACATCGCTTCTGAGAGCTATAGATTTCCCTGGAGACTCAGGAACGCTTAAATGGGGCCAGAGGGGCTGAACCTGTCAGGAGAAATGTGCCACCAGGGAATCTGAGTAAGTCTGTCATGGAAAAAGCACCACCCTCCTCTCTCTGTCTCTCTCTCTCTCTCTGTCTCTCTCTCTCTCTGTCTCTCTCTCTCTCTCTCTCCCCCCTTGTCTCTCGCTGTCTGTCTCTCTCTGTCTCCCTCTCTCTCCCCCCCTTGTCTCTCTCTGTCTCTGTCTCCCTTTCTCTCTCTGTGTGTGTCCCTCTCTCTCTCCCCCCTTGTCTCTGTCTCCCTCTCTCTCCCCCCAACCTTGTCTCTCTCCCTCTCTCCCTCTCTCTCCCCCCCTTGTCTGCCTCTCTCTGTCTGTCTCTCTCTGTCTCCCTCTCTCCCTCTCTCTCTCCCCCCCTTGTCTCTCTCTGTCTGTCTCTCTCTGTCTCCCTCTCTCTCCTCTGTCCTTCTGCTCCATCTTTCCTCTACATCTCTTTTTAAACAAATCCCTCACAGTGCCTGGAAAACCAGCCACATGCTGAATATTTTTCCCCATATCCCCTACTCTTTACTTGGATAAAAGATTAAACAAATGCTTCTCAGTAAGAAAGGGCTGGGCCAGGATATAGCTCAGAGGCGCAGGTAGCGCCTGCTGGCAAGAGCCTGAGTTTGACCTCCATTACCAAAAAATTAAAAAATATACAAGTGTTTGCTCATGTGACAATCCTCTAACAAAATCACAAAATTCCCTACGGATTCAAATGTTGCCCATTCACCCCCCAGCTGTGGGACTCTCCTGTCTAACTCAATCTCTACCGCAATGTCAGCGCTGGCATGGACCTGACTCTCCACTGCGGGCCAGTCCATCTTCCTGAGGCCTCAGAGTGAGGCAGTCCTTAGAGGATCTCTAGCTCGCTGAAGCCAGAGAGCGCCAGGGCATTGAGTGCTTTGCTGCGGGCTTCTCCTGTGCCCCCCAGGGCACCCCCCGCAGCTGCACAGGAGTGAGCACTCGTGTTCCCGGAGGTCTGGTGTGTCTCCGCTGTTTCACCAGATGCCCCTGAAGATAAGGATTTGTGGTGGCCCTGGGGCCCCAGCAAGCAGACAGACAGGAAGGGGGCTGGCATGGGCACTCCAGAAGGCAGGGTGGCGGGGTGGGCACCAGGGGCTCGAATCTGCTCGAGATTCCTCTGAGAATGAAGAGACTTCTCTGTTGTCCATCTGAAGGGCGAAGGACCCGAGCATCCACCAACTTTCTTTTTTTTTTAATTTTTTTTATGAGAGAGAGAGAGAGAGAGAGAGA